GAACGTGCAACAATTTTCTTAAAAAGAGGCACGAACTTAAAAGTTTCATAAAACTTTTTAACTATTATCGGCGCCGAAATTCAAGGTACTCAGTTGCTTTCGAATAACTCTAGAACGACAAAAGATAAGCACTTGCGATTTTCAACAATCGAAAGAAGACAATTTCACCTATGTTTTCATAAGCAAAACTCTGTTGCGAAACCATACGAAAGACTGGTTTTCTAGCAGATGTTTGGAAAAGCACTTCGGACCTCCGAAAACTGAGATAGCAATCTGTCAGTTTTTTTCCATAGATAGATAGTCCAAAGTATCCTCTCCAAAATGCGAACTAAACGAACTCTTAAGTTTCCTCGGTTCAGGTGTGGCATCGGATTTCCTTTTTTTCCATCAGTGTGCACAGGACACTTTTAAATGTACATTCTGAAATGTTTTTGGTTCCCGTACTTGGATTCAGAGTTTTTTAAAATGTGAATAAAATTTATACTTTTCAAGATGAAAACTTCCTCGACGAAAGGGCTTGGACAAACGGACGTAGTTTTTATTTTTATGCTTTTCTCTCTCTAACAATATTGCTCTAATTCGTAATCTCTATATGTCTAAATCTACTATTACCCACAAAACTGAATTCTTCACTTCACGTAAAACCAATACAATGAAACCAGCCATCGTACAAAATTTATCATCTGTTATTAATAAAGAAATTGTTAAAAATGACGTTCAAGATGCACTGAATGATCCCGAAATTCGACAACAAATAGCGTCTTTAAGATCCACTGTTGGCGAAAATGCCGTTGTTGATATACTATGTAGGGCTGTAATGGAATCCATTGAAAAATGTTTATTATCAATCGAAGCACGCATAGTTATCATTGAACAAAATCAAGTTGTCATGAGAAATGGTATGAATAAGCGTGAGCGTCATTCGAGGCAATTTAACTTGCGCATTATCGGGATCCCTGAAAATGAAGAACCAACGAAGGCAATAGTAACATTAGCACAAACTGTAGGATTAAGTGATTTACTAGAACAAGATATTGAAATTTCACATAGATTAGGTGCTAAAAAAGA